GTGTTTTATTGATATGAAGCTGCTTAAGGGTGATCATGTACATTTTTTTGGATATTCCTAAGTCAGTTTTGTGGTACATGGTTTACCCTCTGAACCCCTAGGGTAAACAAATAAATAAAGTTCTACAATCCCGAAAACATTGTTTTGGCTGATTCTATAATAACTAAATCACAGAAAGGTAATAATTTCCCGCCTATATTTTTCCCGGGTGGCTCTTAAGATCTCTGATTAGAATGAAAAGAGAATGACTAACTACTATTTGGTTCATGCTAATTAGCTTGCGTGTTGGTAAGTTCCAGTGTTCCACTATATGATGCTCCCATTTTCAATTCGAAGAGTAGTCAATTCGAATCAGTGTGCTACTGTGCTTCTTGGGTATGCTTTAATTCCAAGATGTAGAGATATAGGTTTAACAAGATTTTATTTGTCTTATAAAATCTTATAATAATCAATGGAGGTTTGGGCATTTTGGGGACAAAAAATGTTGGTGTAATCATCAAGCTTATTGAGGTTGTACAATGTGTTTTAAGGCTTGTGCTCTATTAAAGGAACTTATTTCTCTGTTTTATTTCCGTTAGCCTCCGTTTTATTGCTTCTGCGTCCGTTTATCTTGCTACAGATTCAAATGACCTCCCAGCTTCAAAGTTCAAACAATCAAACGTACCTAATTTATGACGGAAGTTCACGCCATCTATCATTTCTATCTGCCTCTTGTTTTACCTCCGCCGTGTCTACTCACCCAAAAAAGTATCGGCCTCTTCATTTATCTCGGAGATTCATCTACGCATACTCCACAATATGATGGAGGCATTCCTAATAAATGAGATCCGACGAACAACTCAAAAACTATTTCGATAACAGGTTTAGTTTTCTCCATTTTTTTGCACCGTCATTTTTCCAGTATGAGTTGATGTAGATCACTTCTTGCTCCGCTTTAATGTTTATTTCACTCTAATGCATTTTTTCTTAATACCTAGAAAAGCATAACCAATTTCCGTAGAATACAATGATTGCACACTTGTGCTCTTGGGTCGGTTTTGTCATTCTCTGTTTCAGCTCACTAAGAAATTCTCAAATATTAACCAATGAGGTATGTAGAAGTCAATTGAAGAGCAGGAATGGTAAGCGGAAGTGGTATGTACTATGTAGAAATCAATGCACATTTGCACTCTTGTAGAAGTTTAATGTGCTTTATTTTATTAATACTCCGTATAAGTAATTCAGTCTTGAATATCCAGAACCTTATACAAGTGTGTATTACTGGTCAAAATCGATGATAGGATCTTTTCTATCAAAAATATTACTTAATATTAAGAAAACCGTAACCACTTTCTTAGTTTTTTGTGGTTTAAGAATCTTTTCTTTGTAGGGAAATTTACAAGGTATCGTAGGTAAGTGTGCTTCTCTAAACGCATTTGACCAGTTAAATTGAAAAGATTTTAGCCTTCTTTTTCTGTTTTAGTGCCACAAAAGGAGATATCTCTATATTATTTGAATTTTCATAATTAATGTACATTAGTTTTATAAATAACTTCTATGATGAATATTTAGTTGAGAGCAATGAGACAAACTTAATCTTAAATTTTGAAACTAAATCTTACTTTCTGTCTCGGCCTCCATTTCTCTTGGAGTTATTATCTTTATATTCGATTTTACATTCACTTATAAAAACTGCCATATTAATTAGTACTACGTATAACAAGTGATGTCCCATTAAATTGCATGGAAGTATAAATATTGATCTTTGAGTTGTCTTTAATGAGTTACAATATATAACTTGTCAGATTCATCATTCTAGACTTGTGGTTGATTAGAAAATTTGAATGCACATATCAGCTGAACATGTTTTTCAAATTCTAATTTGAATAACATTTCTTCTAGGTGTGTATATGGTTGCAATTTTCTTACTCTATTGTTTGACTTCTGAACTATTTAGAAGAACAAGAAATGACATAGATACACAGTTACTAACCATTAGTCAATTATAGTAACCCTGGTGTTTTCTCCAAAGATAAAGCAGCAAAGAAGAATCTCTTTTAATTTCAGTGATATAATAATCACGCTGAAAAAGTGAAAAATATAATATCATAACAATGAAAGTTGGAGATGTCTTCCCTTATTTAGAGTATGGTGCCCCTGTTCTTGCGTCAAATACCCTTGTTTAGAGTGTTGGGGGTTTGCGTAATATCTTGTAGCACGTCCCCTTTTTTGTTTGGTAAGGCTGGTGTTATAGTTTAACAAGTACCTTTTTCTATTTGTAATACACTTTGGTGTAGAAAATCTAATATCTTGGGTGGATGTTTTCTTTTGGTCATATTGTCATCAACTAATGAGTTTGTTGCGTTTTTTAGTTGATGATGTCAAATCATTTGTGTTCAGATTTTCTCATGGGTTAAAAAAGAATATGTTTTATGACGTTAAAATAATTCGGCTACAAATAGATAGTAGATCTCCCAGTCAGATCTGCTATATTTTGGAAATTATCAATTCTCGCTGTATTTTTATACTTATTGCTCACCTTATTTGTATTCTAACTTTTATATTTTCCTTTTAAAAAAGAAATGGTATATTTAATCCTTTCATTATTAAGATGTCTACTTGTGCATTTAAAGCAATGTTTCTCTCTACGAGGAGGTACTCATTTGTCTCACAGATTTTAATAACAGTTCATGCATCCATCGCTGTACCGACTGCCTAATTCGCTATACAAACATTACAGAGGTAACAATGAATACATCATAAGTCATAACATATTTAACGGTCAACACTTGAATTTACTATTATTGTTCTTTCAGTTCTATTTCGTGGAGTATTTAATAGATCAAATTTTAAGTTCACAGCTTGCTAAAGAGTTACATAGTATAAAATTAGCTTCCAAATGCAAAGTTGAAAGCCGAGTTCACGGGAAGAGTTGATTGACGAACATGCAGGGATGTTGGTGACTTATTTAAAAAGGCGGCAAATCTCCACGACTCCACGCCCCCTAATTATTTCATCAAAGTTAAACATATAGTGTCTGGTTCTTTTCACCGCCGGATTGATTTTCAGTCCAATACGTACACTTCGATCGATTTAAGCTGATCTCTATGTATTCTTATAGTGGGGTCTATCGATAAAAAACATTACATCTCTCAATTAATAGCAATTTGTCTTCTTAAGTCATTTATGTTTATTCTTTTCAGGTGCAATATCTTATTCTAAAAGATAAATTTAATATTTGTGATTTTATGAAAAGGTAAAAGGATATTGTTATACTCATGTTCATATCTTTTTAAATCTCTTTATGATGCAGGGGAGAAGATCGACAACTTGAAACTAGGAAACAGTTTTGGTCTCGTGTAGTGAAAAAGTTATTTACCAATCTTTGTGTATATAATGGAACGTGTTTCTTTACTTTTTAAACCTATTCACTTCCTACTAGCGTATAGCTTTCACCTTCAGGTATCCATCACAATGTTACACTACGTATTCTAGCACAACTTAGTTGTAACAACTTTTTCATCATCTATTATTTCTTCTAGGGGTGGGCATAACGGTTTGGTTTAACCGAACCGAAACCGGACCGTATGCAATTTGGTTTGAGTTTGGTACTATTTCTTCCAAACCGTATTAAACCGAACCGTACCAAACCGAACTAAACCGAAACCGGACCGTATGCAATTTGGTTTGAGTTTGGTACTATTTCTTCCAAACCGTATTAAACCGAACCGAACCGAAACCGATAAAAATCGAACAAAACCGAACCGAACTAAAGAAATTCAAAAATACTTTCATATATTATTAAAATTGGTGGTTTGATTTGGTTTAAACATTTGCTCAAACCGAATGGTTTGGTACTTTGGTTTGGTTTAAAATGGAAAAACCGTAAACCGAACCGAACACCGAACAAGATATATATATATATACTTTGTATTTATCTTCGCTCTTCATTTTTAAGATATAAATAAATAATTTAGACATGAAAATACATATTTAAGCATATACTCGTATCATTTTAACTTTAACACATTTCATACATTCATTATGACAAAGTTAGCTAATACGACATATTTGTATTTATTATGTTTGGCGATAACAATAACAAATTGCATTTATATATTTACATGATTCATTTGAATAAAATTGTGAATATTACAACATTTGTACCGCCGACTCTCTTAGGTTTTTTGAATAATCAATAAATTTAAAAAATATAGAACTTGATCAAATAAAATAATAAACATAAGCAAACGAATCAAATCAAATTAAATTAAATTAAACATAATATTTTTTACTTTGGTAAACCGAACTTCAAACCGAACCAAACCGAAACCGAACCGAAACCAAACCGAAACACAAATGGTTTTAATTTGGTACAAATTCTCCCAACCCGAATAAACCGAAACCGAACCGAAACCGAAACCGAAGAAAACGAACCGTAAACCGAATTGCCCACCCCTAATTTCTTCTTTGGGTTCCCACTCTTAGTTTTGTTATAAAGTTATAAATACAAGTGTTTGTTGTGGCTAATTATCTACTTGTGCTTTACACTACTTCCTATAAGAACTCTACAATTTTCACTTCTTATTCATGTTAATTCCTAAGACGAATCGGATATCAAATCAATATATTACTCCGTATTATTTATTTTTTGTTGGAAAAATAAGAGTATTTCAAATGAATAAAATATCACAAAAAAGTATTTGTGATAAAAATGTTAGTTAATAAATATTTATTGAGTATTTTTTCAATGATAACGTTAAGCATGTTCATTTTGTTTGAGAAGTTTACAAAACGTATTTTGGTAAATGTTCAACTCTTGAACATTAAGTTCTTAAAGCAATAATAAATGTAAAATGCTTAACGTACAGCTCAACTTTAATCTAACTTTAATCTAATTTAATGATGAACGTTTTTTACCTGAGAGCAACGTTTGGCCTATCAGTCGTTGGAAATCTGGCCAGCAACGTTCATATTGCTCATATATATGTGTGTTCGGCCATGGAATGAAGGTAGCTAGAAATAGATTAAGTATTTTTGAGCTAAAACATCCCCAAAGATTTTCACTCTGCTAGATTAATATTATTTTCTACTCTCGATGTTCTGTGACCGGCTTACGCCAAAGAGCTCGTTATATCTTGTGGAAAGATTTTCGCTAGTCGGAAATACTTTCTTGAGGACAGCGTCTGACGCGTCTCGAGTTAGATTATTTTTCTAACGTTTTATTTTGCAGGTTTATCCAACCAATTCCTCCAACAATCTCAAGAAAGTATTTGGCGTCGAATACACCCACATGGGGAGCTGTATTAATCGGATAAACGCTCCCAAAAGTGTTCTACATATAATGGTCAGTCTCTCCACTTTCCTACTTACAATAAGCATACTTTAACTCCATTTAAAAAAAAATCGTTTATTTAGTGGTAAAATGACAACTATGAAAAACAACAACCCACTAAAATCAAGTTTAAACTTGGTTAGTAGTGATGATAATTTTATTGCGGTTGTTTCTCAAAGTTGTAAAACTAAAGATGTGAATGAGTGAGTGGTAGACTCCGTGGCTACCAAGCATATTTGTAAAAACAAAAATGTTTTTACATCCTATACTATTATAAGAGATGATGAAGAGCTTGTGTACCTAGCGGACTCTAAAACCGTTAAGGTGCATGGTAAAGGAAAAGTTGTTATTAAGCTCACATCGGGACAACTTTATCACTAAATGATGTAATTCGTGTGCCCGAGATCGGACTAATTTAGTTTCCGTTTCTCTTTTGGGAAAAATTGGAGTTAAAGTTACTTTTGGTTGTAATGAATATGTTACGACAAAAAATGAAGTTTTTATGGGAGATGGCTATTGTAAGAATGGACTTTTCGTGCTTAGTAATTGTGAATTATTGCATGATGTTGCTTCTACTTATTTGATTGACTCTTACGATGTGTGGAATGCTAGACTAGGACATGCAAGTAATTCGTATATTAAAATGATAAATGAGCATGTTTGATTTCTAGTAAAAAAAAATGACACTAGAAAAAATCGTGATGTTTGTGTTAAATCTAAACTAACTAAAAAAAAATCTCTTCCCTCTACATGTATGGAATCGGAATTGCATATTTTAATTCATAAGGATTTGGGATATTATCAGAAATAGGACTAAAAAGGTTTGAAAATTCCAAAATATGACTCACATGTTTTTATTCCCAAAATAGGACTAATTACTGTCATGTTTTGGCAGTACCAGACTTCAAACATGGCAGTATTTTCCAAACTTGACAGTAGTTACTCCTATTTTGGGAATAAAAAACATGTCAGTCCTATTTTGGAATTTTCAAACTGTTTTAGTCCTATTTCGGGAACTTTCCCTACGGATTTAGGTGATTTAAAATTACCATGATTAGAGGTGAAAACAAAATGGCACCTTTATAGATGATTTTTCTAGATACACTAAAGTTTAAGTGCTTACAAATAAAAATGAGGCTTCTGATAAATCTTTAGTGTATAAATCTGAGGTAGAAAAATCAATTAAGAGAGTTAGATCGCATAGAGGGGATGCATATATTTTATTTCTGTGAATTTTAGAAGGGCTATGCATCTATTTTTAATTATCTAAAATTGTGGGGGTGCTTAGTTAAATTATTATTACTTGTTCCATTGAGCGAAAATGAGCTTTATAACTCTTGGCTATTTTTGCATAAATTGAAACAGTGGAGCATATATATAATTTTTCTTAATGAAAGAAATAGTGTGTAGATGTGCAATACTTTATGCTATATTATTGTTGATACTAATGTGATCATTTTTGGAGAATGTGTACACACTAGATGATGCATATATTGATTACCTGTATATACGTTGTTGAAACAAAAATGATGAGTTTTTTGAAAATGTGCTTCCTGTGAACTTGAACACAAGACTGTTGCACCATATAGTGAGTGTGATCCAGTACAAGAAAATGAACCTTTAATAATGAACCTTCTCTTTTGAGAAGAAGTAAAGATGTCAAGGACAGAGAAATATTTTGGAAATGGTTTTATATATATATCTTATTATTAATGAACTTTTGATTGATTCACAAGCTGTTCTTAGAAATACATAAATAAATAAAAATGGCTTGAGGCTTACAAACTTTCAATTTCATCAAACGTATGTTAATTTTTTTTAAATGGAGAGCTAGAGGAAGAAATTTATATGGTGCAACCGGGGGGTCATTTGGTTACTGGTCAGGAACACAAAGTGTGTAAGTTGATCAAATTTTTATATGGGTTGAAACAAGCTCCAAAACCATGGAATGGAAAATTTGACGTGGTGTTATTTATTTATGATTTACCTTAGTAGAAGTAGATAAGTGTGTTTGCACTAAATGTGAAAAGTTGTGTGCATTATTACTTGCTTGTATGTGAATGATATGTGTTTTGGGTATGAAAGTCATAAGGATGATAGTTTTATGCTGAAAAACTTCTAAAGAGATTTGGGCATTTCAATGTCATTCCGTGAGTATCCCTTATGACTCTCATATGCACTTTTAAAAAAAATAGAGGTGATCTTGAGGCTCAATATGAGTATTCCCAAATCATACGAGGTCCAAAATAGCTTTTGCTTATGGGGAGCATTGGACTGCGTTGAGGCGGTTATTGAGATATTTGAGAGGTACCACTAATGATGGTATATTTGATTGAGATTTTCCGTTGGAATCTATTGATACAACGATGATATGTTTCATTGAGAAATAACCATTGTAGAGCGGTACAATGATGTTATATGAGAATTATCCATTGTACTATAATGGTACAATGATGGTATATATTGAGAATTATCCGATGTACTAGAGGGTCACATTGATGTTATATTTTATTGAGAATTATCTGTTGTATTGCCGGGATACAACGACGACATTTGAGTATACTCACATGAGACAAATTAAAATAGTGGATATCCATTCACCCTTAAAAAAATGGTGCAATGATGTTTGAGAATGATATTATTTCCATTAATTTTGTGAAGTCAGAAGGAATTAGCTACTCCTTTGACAGAATCCCTAGGACGAAAAATGATAACCGAAACATCGAAGGAAATGGGACTAGTGTCACTTGAAACAAATGGGGATGAGAACCCAACTTGTGCGATTGGAGATCCCATGAAGCAAGTTCAAATGGGTAATAACAAGTCTTCCATTTAGTTCTGCTAGCCTAACAAAAATACCCCATTTCCATGATGTGAGATATAGGCTAGAAACCGCATTCTTTGAGAGGGTGAGCTAAAAGCTCTTAATGATTATCATAGTCCTTAACATAAGGGTGGTGTGCAAAAGCGGTACACACCTGATGATATCACCTATATGAGTGTGTGTAACACCGTCCCCAAATATATTTACTTTTATGTAAATAATGTATTGAACCTTATTAAAGGATTGATGAATTTACGAAGTTATAAATTTTTATTAATTCTTTCGCGTGAGTAGTAAATTGCACGTGGGGCCCACATCGGGAGCGGGGACCGCCCGACATCCTCGAGACCATATATTTTATTCATCTTGGTCTAGATAATAAACATATGGTGGTGGATATTTCATTTGGGCCGTGGAAAGGCCCGGAGTTGACCGATTGGTCAGAAGAAGCCCAAATTACCGGTACTGGTAATTTAACAGATAGCAGCCCGAACTGAATTTCGGAGGCTTACAAATTAAAGTTGGGGAATGTATATTCATTATACATTTCATAACGAGTAAGAACACATAACATATTTTATTTGACCCGATAAAATAAAATATATTTAAAACAGTCCGAAAAATACAACTTTCGGGACCGATTGTACACTTCAGGGCTTAAAGGGATGACCTCCCACATGTGTGGGGGCCAACCCACGAAATCAATCACTCAATGCCCTGTCTTGGACGGCTGGAATGAAAGAGGGGAGTGGGGGGGTTGTATGGGTTTGAGTTGAGAAGCATCTAAGGACAAAGGTGGGCTCCCATCCCACACTTATTTGTCATTTGAGACAAAAGTGTGTACACTCTCTCACCCCTATCACCAAGCTCGACCAAGACCTAAAGAAAAGAAGAGGAAAAGCTCTCAAAATCACCTCCATTGTTGCAGCACGAGCTCAAGAGAAATTGGTCCAAGGAAGGAGGTTTGAGAAGGAAAAAGTTAGGAAAAGTGTGAATAATTAAGGTAATGACCTTGTTATAACTTCTCCTTTATTTTTCTTCTACCATATGAGGTATATATCATGTAGAAAACCTCTAGTATGGTTCCATATGTTACAAGTATGGATTCATGGGTTGAAAGGTGGTTCTACGTCCAAGAACGGACTTAGAAGCCAAAACGACCGGTTCACCGGAAAATAACCTTTTTGAGGTTATTTGTATTAATATGGGTTTTATGATTATAAAACCTTGTTAGGGACTTGTGAAAGGTATTTCAAGTGATTTCACAAAGTTGGAAAAGTCGCCGGAGTTGTCGCCGGAGTTGACCAAAAGTCGCTGGAGTTTCACCGGAGTTCAACCAAGAAGGGTAGAACTTCATAACGCTAGTTCAAGGTGAGTGGACGGCTTAATATCTTATAACTTTTGGGTTAATTATGAGATTACCTAAATAAATGTTATATGTGTTCATAATGATGTTTAAAAGATATTTAAACATGTGATTAGCCAACATTATTAAGTTGTATGAAAAGAATTACTTGTTTATGCATGAAATATGATATGAGGAATTGTATAAAATGCATATTAGCTTGAAGTGTAAAAGAAGCACAAATGAGTATTATTAACTTAATTATATGATGATTAAGTTGATAGGTACAAGGCTTGAATTGGCGGTCAACGACAACGTTGACCGATGGATAATGGATTAGTTAATATCGGTTGATATTAGTTAATTATACATTTATATAATTGCATGGCTTTGCATGGATTGTGATACATAAGCCTTATGTATTGAATTAGTTATGAATGACTAAATATGATATAGACCCTATCTAGTGTGATATGTGGTAAGTCATAGGTCGGGTGGAGTACCCAAGGATCGGGCGGTTATCCTCAAAACTCGGTTATATAGGGTGGAGTACCCAAGGATCGGGCGGTATCCTCAAAACTCGGTTATATAGGGTGGAGTACCCAAGGATCGGGCGGTATCCTCAAAACTCGGTTATAGGGTGGAGTACCCAAGGATCGGGCGGTATCCTCAAAACTCGGTTATAGGGTGGAGTACCCAAGGATCGGGCGTGTATCCTCAAAACTCATAGATTACATTTAATGATCTAGGACCGGGCGGTGTCCTTATGATAATTTATTTGAACAAGGAGGAGTTCTATACACTCATAGGTATATGGGTGGGTTGGGATTTAAGTCAAGGAGATTGGCTACTATTATTTTCCCAAATAAACAATGACCTACGGGTCGGGTATTTCCAAGTGTATGTATACTAATATGTATTTCAAACTTGGAGGAAGGACTATACGTATATGTATCATCCTATGTTTGGGTCTTATACTTGAAACGCCAGTTATTCTATATTTAGCCTGCTACTCGCTCGGTACTTGTACTGACCCCTTCGGGGGGCCCCACCATTTTCAGGTTGAAGCTAGGGCTTGCTACCTGCACCTTTCTACGGGTGACATCAAATCAAGGAAGACGTGGTTCGTGCTTCCTCATTTTATTTCAAATTACCAAACATTGCTCATGGATATTTTATTTGTTATAAACTATTCTTTTGGGGCTTGCATGCCCATGTTATTGGCCGGTTGTGGCTTATGACTTACCGTTGAATATTTCCGCTATTCATTGGTTTAAATGTGATGTTGTTATGTATGTTTACTACTGAGTATGGATGGATTATTTTTCTCGAACGCCTTGTGTAATCAAGTGAGGTTGACTCGCGGGTGACGTCACTTGATTATACGGCGGTTGTACACGCGCTTGGATTGCGGTTTGGGGCGTGACAATTAAGTGGTATCAGAGCCATCTCAGTTCTAAACTATATAATCAACCTCTCACATGAGATTTTACAAAAGAGTTTTTACCGAAAACCATGGGCATTGTATTTTGACGTTTATGGGACTATTGGAGCTTAAGTTGCAAGGCCTCTAATTGTTAAGACGGTACCCTTAACAATTGGTATGGTGGTGACTTGGGCCAATACGTGTCTGTAGCGTTCTTCCGTCAATTGACATTCACATTTATAGGAGTCTAATGACTCATCCATATTTCTTTCAGAAATGGAGGGCAGGCGAATGCGGACCAGGAACAATCCGAGGGGGCAGGCGCCGGTAACATCCCAAAGGGGAAGCCGGGCTGCATCTCGGGGTTCAAGAGGAGGCCGTGGAGGCCGTGGAAGCCGTGGAGGTCATCAAGCTCAAACTGTGAGTGATGGCCATGTAAGCTCGGTGTATGAAACCAACACCGAGGACTATGACTCAACCTACGTTCCGGAAACGGAGCATGAGGAGACCCCGTATGATGGTGGTGACACATACACCGATGATGACGACGAAGAGAGTGATGCCAAGTTCGCTCAAATGGGCGAATTGCTTGAGTGGTATCAAAAAGAAAAGCTGAGGAGAGACCTTAGGCGCCAAGCAAGGCGTGGCTCTCGTGGTGGTTCGGGTCAAGGGAGTCGGGGAGCTTCCGTGGCCACCCCAGCGGCGCCACAAGGTGGGCATGAAGGAGGTTTTGTAGTAAGAATCTCCAAATACCTCAAGGAGGCTAGGGCCTTGGGGTGTAGGTCCTTCGACGGCACCGGCGACATTACCGCTGCCGCCGATTGGATCAAGAAGGTGAAGGATGCATCGAGAGACATGCAGATTACTCCGGACGTGAAGCTAACTGTCACTTCACGGCTACTTGAGGGGATGGCTTCTACATGGTGGGAAGGTGTAGAAGGGAAATACCGTGGGGACATCTCATGGGAAAATTTTGAGCAAGAATTTTATGCTCAATACTACTCCGATTTCGAGGTTAATGTGAAGAGGAGGGAGTACACCAACCTCAAGCAGAAAGAGGGTTGCACGGTTAAGCAACTGGAGCAAGAATTTAGGACCTTGGCTAGGTTCTTGCCGGAGTATGCGATCGATGAAGACCGCATGACTGAGCACTTTTGGGATGCCTTACTCTTGGACATCCGAGATCGTGCCACGTATTCCCGCCTCATGACCTTTAGTGAGGTGGTAGAGCAGGGCATGCTTGGAGAGGCCCAGTGGAATGAGAGGAAAGCAAGGGACGCCGAAGAGGCGAAGAAGAGGAAATGGAATAATTCGGGGCCACCCGACCATTCTCGGAGGAACAACCACGGTGGTGGCGGTGGTGGCGGTGGTTCATTCAAGGCGCCGGCTCCACCGGCAAAGAAGAATAGGGATGCGAGGTGGCACGGACCTAGGCCACAGAACTCGGGGCCACCTAGATGTCCCAATTGCTCAAAACAACACTTTGGAAAGTGCAATGAACCACCGAGGTGTTTTAAGTGCGGGAATGCGGGCCATATGAAGGCCAATTGCCCTCAATTGATGCAAGAGAGTGCCTCAGGAGCCGGGGGAGGGACCATGACGGGAAGGAACCGTGCGGGACCGTCAAACGGCGGCACGGGAAGAGGCGGTGCATCCACAAGCCATGCCGCATCCGTCAACCAAGGTGGGACCCAAGCACGAGTCTACGCGATGACCGAGGCGGATGCGCGAGCAAACCCGGACTCCGTTGCAGGTAATACACGTATTCCCATGTATTTCTAGGCTTAGTTTGATCATATACACCGTTGGGGGTTGAGTTCGGGCCACCCCGGGACCAAACGGAGCGAAATTGGGCGAAATTGGGCGAAATCGGGCTGATTTCTGCCAACGCACTACAGGCTGGGCTGCACGCACGGCCGTGCGTTGCCCGTGCGTACCTCCGTGCGTTGGTGGCAGTAGCACCCTGGAGGAAAATCGCTGCACGCCCGGCCGTGCGTTGCCCGTGCGTACCTCCGTGCGTTGGTGGCAGTAGCACCTCGGAGGAAAATAGCTGCACGCCCGGCCGTGCGTTTCATGTGCGTACCTCCGTGCGTTGGTGGCAGTAGCACCCCAGAGAGAATCGCTGCACGCCCGGCCGTGCGTTGCCCGTGCGTCCCTCCGTGCGTTGGGGGCAGTAGCCTCCATTGGTAAGGCAAGGTACGCACGACCATGCGTACCCCCTACGCACGCCGTGCGTGGACCCCCAACACCCGAAACTTGATTTTTTTCGCCCCGTTCTTCTACGTTTGGACCCTCGTTTGATTCCAAACATTAGTATGAACCTAATAACCTCCTAAAGGTGTGTAAAAACATTAGAAAATGTATCTTACATGGTGTATAAATGTAGGAACATTAAAGATCAATGGTAGGTGTGCGAGGATCCTCATCGATACCGGGGCACAACGCTCATTTGTGAGTGAGGCGTTTGCTGAGGGGCTCGACGTGCCATTGACGCCTATGACACAAACATTGCTAGTCTCCACACCGTTAGGAGACGACGTGGAGAGAAATCATTACTATCCATCATGTGAGGTGGAAGTGACGGGTCAACCCTTGACTTGTGATTTCGTACCTCTGAGCATGTTGGAGTTCGATGCAATTCTAGGAATGGATTGACTTGAGAAGCACCATGCTCGAGTAGATTGCTACACCAAGGTGTTGGAGCTCGAGGATGATCTTGGAAACACGCTATGTTTCAAAGGAGATCGGGGGAAATCTAATGCTTGCATCATATCCGTGATGAGGGCAAGGAAGATGATGAGGAAGGGATGCCACGCATACCTTGCCTACGTGGTGGACGATACCAAGAAGGAAGTCGACATCAAAGATGTACGGGTCGTATGCACATACCCGGATGTCTTTCCCAAAGACCTACCGGGGCTTCCACCCGATAGAGAGATAGAGTTTGTAATTGAAGTGGAGCCGGGAACCAAACCCATTTCGATTCCTCCTTATCGAATGGCGCCGGCCGAACTCCAAGAATTGAAGGTCCAACTACAAGAATTACTGGACAACGGGTTCATCAGACCCAGTCATTCACCGTGGGGAGCACCCGTACTCTTCGTAAAGAAGAAAGATGGTACACTAAGAATGTGTATCGACTACCGACAGTTGAACAAGGTCACCATCAAGAACAGGTATCCTTTACCTAGGATTGATGACTTGTTTGATCAACTTTGAGGGGCCATAGTATTCTCAAAGATTGACTTGAGATCGGGGTATCATCAGTTGAAGATCAAGGAGAGTGACATACCTAAGAGTGCATTTCGCACTAGATATGGTCACTACGAGTTTCTTGTGATGTCATTTGGGTTAACCAATGCACCGGCAGCATTCATGGACTTGATGAACCGTGTGTTTAGTGAATACTTAGATCAATTTGTGATAGTATTCATTGATGACATCTTGATATACTCCAAGAGCGAGGAAGAGCACGAACACCATTTGAGGCTTGTACTTGATCGGCTAAGGGAAAAGCAACTCTTCGCCAAGTTCTCTAAATGCGAATTTTGGCTCAAAGAGATTGGTTTCCTCGGTCATGTTATATCCGGTTCGGGCGTTGCTGTGGATAACGCCAAGATAAAGGCTATCATGGATTGGGAGAGACCCAAGAATGTGAAAGAGATACGTAGTTTCCTTGGCTTAGCGGGATACTATCGTAAATTCGTTGAAAAATTTTCTGTATTGGCGTCTCCATTAACGAAGCTCACGAAGAAAGGGGCCAAGTTTGTATGGGACGACAAGTGTGAGAAAGAGTTCCTTGAATTGAAGAAACGACTTACCGAAGCACCAGTCCTGGCCCTACCCATACAGGGTATAGGGTACGACATTTACAGCGATGCTAGCATCCAAGGGCTTGGATGTGTACTAATGCAAAACGGTAAGGTGATTGCCTATGCTTCTAGGCAATTGAGGAAACACGAGGTGAGCTACCCTACTCACGATCTAGAGTTGGGGGCGGTGGTGTTTGCATTGAAGATTTGGAGACATTATCCCTACGGGGGAGACGTGTCACATTTATACTGATCATAAGAGCTTGAAGTATGTATTCACTCAGAAAGAGTTGAATATGAGGCAGAGGAGATGGATGGAGTTGATCAAGGACTATGACTTGATCATCGACTATCGTCCCGGAAAGGCCAATGTAGTGGCCGACGCACTGAGCAGAAAGAGTACGTCAGGGACGCTAATCACATGTCTACAAGCATTGAGGGCACACGTGGAGGTATCCACGAGCGGGGCGCTCATTGCTAGATTCGAGGTGAGGCCTACATTGCTGAGTGAGATCAGTAGATGTCAGGCCATTGATGAGGAATGTCAGAAGATCCGCGAACGGATCCTTGAGGGGCCCGTCGAGAATTTTCGGGTACGTGATGACGGTCTTTTATTATTTAAGGATCGTGTGTGCATACCAAAGAATGAGGAGCTCCAGAGGGCTATACTTGAGGAGGCTCATTCTTCAGCATATGCCATGCATCCAGGGGGTACTAAGATGTACCGAGATCTGAAGGGAAGTTACTGGTGGTCAGGCATGAAGAAGGATATCACAGAGTTTGTGAGTCGATGCCTTACTTGCCAGCAAATTAAGGCAGAGCATCAGCACCCAGCAGGGCTCTTACAACCACTCACCATCCCAGAGTGGAAGTGGGAACATGTGACCATGGACTTCGTGGTGGGGCTGCCACGAACAGTGAACAACTACGATGCAGTATGGGTAGTGGTTGATAGGCTCACCAAGAGTGCACACTTTCTGCCTATCAACATTACTTATCCTCTTGAAAGATTGGCCAAGCTATACACGGAGGAGATTGTGAGATTACATGGAGTCCCAATATCCATTGTCTCGGATAGGGATCCACGATTCACATCCCGATTTTGGCCAAAGTTTCAAGCATCTTTGGGGACTAAACTGAAGTTTAGCACAGCTTTTCACCCACAGACGGATGGACAGTCCGAGCGGGTGATACAGATTTTGGAAGACATGCTTAGGGCATGTGCTTTGGAGTTCCAAGGAAGTTGGGACAAGCATTTGGCCCTAGTGGAGTTTGCTTATAACAACAGTTATCAGGCAAGTATCGGCATGCCTCCATATGAGGCATTGTATGGGAGGAAGTGCAGAACACCATTGTGTTGGGACGAGGTTGGCGAGGCCAAACTCGAAGGGATAGAGCTGGTTGAGATCACCAAGGCCAAGGTGAGGATCTTTCGGGATAGACTGAAGGCCGCTCAGGACCGACAGAAGGGTTATGCTGATAAACGGCGGAGACCGTTGGAGTTCGAATTCGGTGATGAGGTCTTCCTAAGGATTTCTCCTTGGAAGGGCATCATCCGATTCGTATCGAGGGGGAAGCTTAACCCCCGATACATAGGTCCGTTTGAAATCCTTGAAAGGATCGGGGCTGTGGCTTACCGTCTCAGGTTGACGCCCGAACTTGAGAAGATACATGACGTGTTTCATGTATCAATGCTCAAGAAGTACATACGAGACCCATCTCATATTCTTGAGAAACCACCGGTAGAGATCCGTGAGGACTTGCAATATGCGGTGGAACCAGTGAAGATTGTTGGTCAACAAGTGAAGAAGCTTAGGAATAAGGAGATTCCTATGGTAAAGGTTATTTGGAGGAGTGATCGAATCGAAGAAGAAACTTGGGAGACCGAGGTCTCAATGAGGGAGCAATACCCATTTCTTTTCGATTAGATACTTGGATTTCGGGGACGAAATCCCAAATAAGGGGGGGTGAACTTGTAACACCGTCCCCAAATATATTTACTTTTATGTAAATAATGTATTGAACCTTATTAAAGGATTGATGAATTTACGAAGTTATAAATTTTTATTAATTCTTTCGCGTGAGTAGTAAATTGCACGTGGGGCCCACATCGGGAGCGGGGACCGCCCGACATCCTCGAGACCATATATTTTATTCATCTTGGTCTAGATAATAAACATATGGTGGTGGATATTTCATTTGGGCCGTGGAAAGGCCCGGAGTTGACCGATTGGTCAGAAGAAGCCCAAATTACCGGTACTGGTAATTTAACAGATAGCAGCCCGAACTGAATTTCGGAGGCTTACAAATTAAAGTTGGGGAATGTATATTCATTATACATTTCATAACGAGTAAGAACACATAACATATTTTATTTGACCCGATAAAATAAAATATATTTAAAACAGTCCGAAAAATACAACTTTCGGGACCGATTGTACACTTCAGGGCTTAAAGGGATGACCTCCCACATGTGTGGGGGCCAACCCACGAAATCAATCACTCAATGCCCTGTCTTGGACGGCTGGAATGAAAGAGGGGAGTGGGGGGGTTGTATGGGTTTGAGTTGAGAAGCATCTAAGGACAAAGGTGGGCTCCCATCCCACACTTATTTGTCATTTGAGACAAAAGTGTGTACACTCTCTCACCCCTATCACCAAGCTCGACCAAGACCTAAAGAAAAGAAGAGGAAAAGCTCTCAAAATCACCTCCATTGTTGCAGCACGAGCTCAAGAGAAATTGGTCCAGGGAAGGAGGTTTGAGAAGGAAAAAGTTAGGAAAAGTGTGAATAATTAAGGTAATGACCTTGTTATAACTTCTCCTTTATTTTTCTTCTACCATATGAGGTATATATCATGTAGAAAACCTCTAGTATGGTTCCATATGTTACAAGTATGGATTCATGGGTTGAAAGGTGGTTCTACGTCCAAGAACGGACTTAGAAGCCAAAACGACCGGTTCACCGGAAAATAACCTTTTTGAGGTTATTTGTATTAATATGGGTTTTATGATTATAAAACCTTGTTAGGGACTTGTGAAAGGTATTTCAAGTGATTTCACAAAGTTGGAAAAGTCGCCGGAGTTGTCGCCGGAGTTGACCAAAAGTCGCTGGAGTTTCACCGGAGTTCAACCAAGAAGGGTAGAACTTCATAACGCTAGTTCAAGGTGAGTGGACGGCTTAATATCTTATAACTTTTGGGTTAATTATGAGATTACCTAAATAAATGTTATATGTGTTCATAATGATGTTTAAAAGATATTTAAACATGTGATTAGCCAACATTATTAAGTTGTATGAAAAGAATTACTTGTTTATGCATGAAATATGATATGAGGAATTGTATAAAATGCATATTAGCTTGAAGTGTAAAAGAAGCACAAATGAGTATTATTAACTTAATTATATGATGATTAAGTTGATAGGTACAAGGCTTGAATTGGCGGTCAACGACAACGTTGACCGATGGATAATGGATTAGTTAATATCGGTTGATATTAGTTAATTATACATTTATATAATTGCATGGCTTTGCATGGATTGTGATACATAAGCCTTATGTATTGAATTAGTTATGAATGACTAAATATGATATAGACCCTATCTAGTGTGATATGTGGTAAGTCATAGGTCGGGTGGAGTACCCAAGGATCGGGCGGTTATCCTCAAAACTCGGTTATATAGGGTGGAGTACCCAAGGATCGGGCGGTATCCTCAAAACTCGGTTATATAGGGTGGAGTACCCAAGGATCGGGCGGTATCCTCAAAACTCGGTTATAGGGTGGAGTACCCAAGGATCGGGCGGTATCCTCAAAACTCGGTTATAGGGTGGAGTACCCAAGGATCGGGCGTGTATCCTCAAAACTCATAGATTACATTTAATGATCTAGGACCGGGCGGTGTCCTTATGATAATTTATTTGAACAAGGAGGAGTTCTATACACTCATAGGTATATGGGTGGGTTGGGATTTAAGTCAAGGAGATTGGCTACTATTATTTTCCCAAATAAACAATGACCTACGGGTCGGGTATTTCCAAGTGTATGTATACTAATATGTATTTCAAACTTGGGGGAAGGACTATACGTATATGTATCATCCTATGTTTGGGTCTTATACTTGAAACGCTAGTTATTCTATATTTAGCCTGCTACTCGCTCGGTACTTGTACTGACCCCTTCGGGGGGCCCCACCATTTTCAGGTTGAAGCTAGGGCTTGCTACCTGCACCTTTCTACGGGTGACATCAAATCAAGGAAGACGTGGTTCGTGCTTCCTCATTTTATTTCAAATTACCAAACATTGCTCATGGATATTTTATTTGTTATAAACTATTCTTTTGGGGCTTGCATGCCCATGTTATTGGCCGGTTGTGGCTTATGACTTACCGTTGAATATTTCCGCTATTCATTGGTTTAAATGTGATGTTGTTATGTATGTTTACTACTGAGTATGGATGGATTATTTTTCTCGAACGCCTTGTGTAATCAAGTGAGGTTGACTCGCGGGTGACGTCACTTGATTATACGGCGGTTGTACACGCGCTTGGATTGCGGTTTGGGGCGTGACAGT